CTTTGTTTCGTGAGGATGTGACATGTTTGACCTCAACTTCCAGACTTTGACATCTTATCAGTATAAAAGTGGGGATCGCTGACTAGCAAGATGCATAAACACCCCTTTTGTGGGCTTGCAGGTTTTGGAAATAGGAGATTTTATAGCTTTTAAAAATTCCTTCAGTGAGTTGATTAAGTTTAGATACAAGTTTCATGGCTTGGATGGATGTTTTCAGTTTTTTAAATAACAATGAATGATTTGAATTGTTTAGGTTTTTAAACCAATAACATGAAACCTTTGACCTTTGGAATGGGGTCCAGTGTATGAAATTAGTGACTGAGAAGAAAACGAACTGAAAGGATGATCATCTGAAACTAGTGGGCTTTTTTTTTTTCTAATTAGTGCTACTTATTTCCTCTTCCAATGTTGCAGACAGTGTCAGAAACAAGGTAGGACTTTCTAGAAAGGTTTCTTGCTGTAGTTGATGGTGTACTATGAGCTGCTGCATCACTACAGTTGCAAAACAATGGGATGGGCAGGTTGGTGGAGTGGGGTGCTTATGAATCACATTTACCCTGATTCTTCCTGTTATCCTGTTTCCCTTTTATATCTAAGGTCCTCACAGGATCTTACACCACCTCTTGGTTCCCCTGGACTATCTAACACAGAGCTGTACAGGACAGTTCATGACTTCTTTTGTAACTATTTCAGCAGCTGGATAATTAATTACTCATCAGCCTTCCATGGCTCGGACCTCGGCAGGGCTGCGGGTCCTCAGTGCCCTCGCCCTGCGTGAGGGTTAGACAGCTGAAGAGAGAGGGAGGTCTCTCTTTCTTGTGTATTAAACCTGGGGACTCAGTCCTGTTTGACAGTGATGTTAGCTGATCGTGTCCTCTGAGTGCACTTCCAGTGTCGGTTTGTGGGTTGAGGGGTTGCACAGGAGACTTGTCGCTGGGTGCTATCTGTTGTTAGGGTGCTCGCCCTGCTTCTAGCAGAGCTCACAGGGAGTTACTGGTTCCCTTCTTAACACCCAGTAAATGCACATATGGAGCTTTGTTACTAAGTAGTTATTCTCACTGAGTAAGTGGGGTACCAGGTGTGTTTTGGTGGGTAATTCTTGATCCTTTCAGTGCCTGTTGGACATATTTTGGGATTAGCAGCTAGGACTAAAGTGGTGACTTCTTTCTGCTCTTGGCTTGGTACTATTCCTAATCAAGGAAAATTACTGATTTTGTTCTACACCTTTTTTCTCCCTAACCATTGGTGTAATTTCTGTGCTGATATGAGCAAAAATATCGTTGATAAAACTCTGTAGCTGCCAATATGCTTTCAGTGGAATGCATTTGCATTTGGTGGCCTTCAGTGCAGCACTTCCTGAGAGCAACAGATTGCCGTGCAATTTTTGCTAATGCACAGTTGGCCAGCATCCCCATATTTCTAACAGCCTCAGCCAGGGTGCTATTTTCTAGAAGATCTTTGCAGTGGTTTCTGAGAGAGCAGTTGTCCCTTTAGGGAACTGTGAAAAACTTTAATTAGCTCTTACCACTCCTGCTTTTTGTTCCACAAACTTCTCTTGTCATGATCATAGAAGAAGAAAAGAGAGATGGTGATTGTGACAGTAATAAAGGAGGTGAAAGAACGGTATATTCTCTATAAAATCTTTATGAAATCCACCTTTTCTGGAAACACATGCACGTGTATCACTATTTGTCATTAATTACCTAGTTTTAAACAAGAGATTTTGAGATTCCCGCAGAATTACTTCTCCAAAAACTGCTTTGATTCTCTCTTGTTCCTAAGGAGAACCAACTTTATGATCTGTGCTGCTTTATGTTGTTTTTTTTTTAAACAGCATCTTTACAAGTAATTATTCCAGAAAATGAGTGATTCTTTTCCTCCAGAGTAAGAGTACCTCATGAAAGTCATTCAGTGTAAGGCAGTCCTGTTGTAGAAGTGAGTCTGTGTAAGATGTTAAAGAGGAAAAGGCCTCACAAATTTCATTACTTAACTGTATGTCCTGAGTATTAAGGTGGAATGCTATTTAGGATTTTTATGATTGTGATTTAAAGCAAAATTAGGTACGATACCATGGCTTGTGTGATTTATGAGGGATACATCTCCTTTAGAAAATAGCATTTTGGCATGTTGAGGGTGACAGCCCCCAGTTACTGGCTCAGGATTCGACTTTTAAGTTTAGGATTGAGACCCAAATTGGCCAATGATATATTCCATATCATGCACATCATGCCCAGTATATAGATGAGGCTCTGTCTGGAATTTTTATCTCTCTCTCTTTCTCTCAGTCCTGCCCCACCCCTCAGACTTTTGGGCTTTTATCTGTTCAGTGAGCGTGGTTTCAGGACTCTCCCTGCTCCGGGATTATTAGCGAGGAATGGGCTGAACCTTGGCCATCAGGTAGTGAGCAGTATCACTGTGTGTCACTCATTTCTGTAATTATATATTTGTATATTACTGTTATTATCATTATTATTTTCAGTTTTATTGTAGTTCAGTCATTAAATTGTTCTTATCTCAACCCAGCAGTCTCTTTTCCCTTTACCCCTTTATTTCTCTCCCACATCCCCGGGAGGGTGAGCGAGCAGCTGTGGGATATTCACTGCTGCATGGATCAAACCATGACATTCAGTCTCAACCATTCCTATTCCAGTTCCTTGTGAATACTTGTCTACTTATTGGTTTATTTTTATTGGGGAGCTTTTTGACTCTGAATCACCGGATGTAGATTTGTGGGCTGAGATGTGTAAAGTGCATAGTGGTAAAGTATCAGTGGTCAAACAGCTAGCTTTGACTTTTCTTGGTAATAGTGTGTCATGTGGGTAGAAATGAACAGCGCATGATAGAAAAGATGATACGGATATTGACTCTCTAATGATCTGATGAACCTGAACATTCATGAAATGCTAAAACTAAATACTATCCCCTGCTCCATCCTGGAATGCTGGTCCTTCTGCAACTTCCCTGAATGTAATTTAAAGGAAGATGCTGGTACTGACAAAGCATGTTATAAAGCACAAAACAAATCTTTGTCTGTTTTTGAAAGGAAGGTGAATCAGAAAGCTTTTGCAAAGTAGTCTCCGGAGATATCAAAATGATAAACGAGTAGTAAAAGCTATTTGTGAGACATCTTTCTGCCTGCCTTAATTTGCAGCTCTGCTCTGCAGAGGAACGATATAAGAATGGCACTTGACAGACAGTGAGTAATAGCTGGGTGAAGCTTCCATTGGGAAGAGGAGATAATCTGGGGAGCACCTTTCAGGTTCAAAGCCCAAGGTTTTGGATACCTTACTGTTACTACCTACTCTTCTTTCAGTGTCACTCCATGTGTTTAATTTTATTCACAGCTTTGAAGGCAGTTCAGTTGCTTGCATGGTTCTGTAAAACATTTCCTTTGATGTATAAGGCATCAGTTTGCTGTCCCACAGACAGATCCTTTGAGGCTGAGGGAATTAACTTCTGCTTTTCAGTGGAGTTCTTAGGTACGAGTGGAAAACTTGTATGAAATAGATTTTGTACAAGTAAGAAATTTTGCAAAAAGTACCATTTATTTAATGCATGGCTGCTTTAAGCAGTGGGTGTAGATAGTACAGTTGGGTTCTTAAGGGCTTATGCTTTCCTTAGCGGTAAGTCTCATCGCTTGTGCTCTGTACATTTCAAAGTGTAACTGGCTGGTGGGTCCCAGTGAACAATGTGCAAGGAATGCACAGGAATTGTTTGTGCATTTCAAAATTATTTGAAAGATGAAGGAAATATTTAGAAGGCTGCTCCTTCTGTAAGTGCCCCGATGGGTAAATAAATATGTGATGATTTATGACTTACTGTCTAAAGTTGAGGAGAACCGAAGGAAGAAATGAGCTTAGTGGCAGCAGGTGATCTGGTGAAAGAATGACATAAAATACCACATAAAATACCACATTCAGACCTGTGCTGTGACTATTTCAGAGATGCTCGACACACCTTATTGTAGAGCTTAGCTTGCAGTTTTCTCAGTTAACAAGAAAAAATAATATTACGAACAATTTTAGATGTCAAGGCCAGGACAAAAGCATAAGAAGTGATTTTTTTTTTTTGTTATTATTCTGGAAGTAATATTTATTTCAAGTAAAAAAGCCAAACCAACAGTGAACTACGGAATGAAAATGGTGTGGAATTAGGAAGAAATTGAACTTTTCTAATTAGATAGGCTGGATATTATTAGGTACTTTCAATTTCAGTTTTTCTTTTTCTGCTCCTAGGTCCTCTGCTGTTGCCCATGACATAATCATCTAGATAAATATTTTCTTTTTCTGACTTCTATAATGCCTTCTGTCCCATCCTCACTATTTGTAACAGAGCTGATGAAACTGTCATCTTTGCTTACCTTGCTAGCCACTTGCATCACTTTGAGGCTGGCTGCACAGACCTTTCTTCAGGCTTGAAGCTTAATGTAGACTTAGAACTGCAAGTGGAGCAATGCCAGGTGTCCAAAACCAGAAACTAACAACTTCTGAAGTTTTATCTTTTCAGCACTGGGACTTTTTGGTACAATTTCAGGAACTTGTATGTGTTGTGTTTAAGCTAAGTATAAATAACCCCCTATGCGTTCTTCAGTCGTGGGCTTAGGATGTTTTAGGGTGGGATCAGGGTTTTTTTTCAGGTTAGTATTTTTAGTGTTTTCATCTTTGTTTTAGTGGAGATAACATTTGCATTTAAAATTTTGCTAGGATAAGCCTATTTGAAGTGCTTGCTATTTCTACAATTATTCTCAAACACTGCCTGAATTTTATTGTTATAGCTGGAGTGCAGCTCAGGTATGCTTTATTCTCACATTGTGCACAGATGCTTACATTTCTCCTCTTTTCCTTGATGATTTAGGAATGAACTAGAAATAAAATAATTGGTTGAAATAAAATAATTGGTCTTACTGTTAAACAGTTTTCAGAGCCAAGAAAATACTTGCATAATTTCCTTAATGGAGTCATAGTGACTTTTTGTTTTGTTTTGTTTTTCTAATGTAATAGAAGTCAAAGGCAGAAGAGAAAATCAAGTTTGGTATTTGAAAATATCAAAGCTAGCATTGGCTTTTGCAATCATCCGTGCAAAACCACCAGGGAAGAGTTGCAAAGAATACACTGAGCACCTTGCCAGAACTGTATCCGAACAAGATTTTGGTTGGAAATCGAAAGTTGCAGTGCTGGAAGCTGAAGTTCTTCGATTACGTCAGGAACTTCTTTTGAACAAGATCTGTCCAAGATTCCACTTGGAAAGTGGTAAGTTTCTGAAATAATTTCTAACTATGTTGCAGTAGCAAGGAAACAAACAGCTTTCATCTTGCATGTACCATTTCTTGTACAAGATACAAGATACAAGATACCTAGATACAAGAGTCTTCAGCTTTCTGGTTTTCCCAGAGCTCTGAAGTAGTAGAACAGTTAATTCATTTGTCATGGGGTTGTGTTTGAGAATTTGATGCTTACTCAGAACTTACATTTTTAACCCCCAGAATCAGTATGTATCATATGGAATAATTCCAGACAAAATTGTCAGTACAAAATCTTACTCTATAACCTCAGAGATACTAGTTTCTAAGACTATTGATGTAATCTGCTTACATTTGGACCATGTCTTAAAGACATATTGCATATTTTTTTACCACTTTAAAGATGCTTAAAATCAGAATCTCCCTGATAAAGAGTACCTCCCCGTCTCTCCTGTAGGCCCCTTTTAAGTACTCAAAATCAAAATATATAGCTAGTTGCTTTATGACTTGAGACTTTTAGAAGGTACCGTGCTAGAAAACTTGATGAGGCTTTACTGGAATGCATTTGTACTGGAACGGTAGCTTTATTGCCTTGTGAAAAGATTTCTGGATTCTAACTCTGACTGAGAGGGGGGGATGTATTAGACTCTAGAATAGTTTGTGGTTTTTTTTGTAATAGACCTTTCTTTCTAGAGAAGTGATTTAACTATTCATACTTGGTGATTGTTTGTGTCTCTGCTCTCTGCAACCTGTTCCAAACATGAAGTTTATTTAAGAGAAAAAGTAACTTTCAAGCTGCTGTTTGAAACAGGTGTCTTAACACTGTGAAGAACTGATTGCATATGATGTATGTGATTAGGAGAGATTTATTAACATCTAATGTCTGGAGAGGGTATTCTGATTGTGGATTAAGCAGAACATGGCAAATGCTAGAAACAAAATCAGTTAATCTGCAACTTCCAAGTCTAACTTCTTAGTTGGCCTTCCGGGCTGCAAGCGCACACTGCTGGGTCATGTCCAGCTTCTTGTCCACCAGGACCCCCATGTCCTTCTCTGCAGGGCTGCTCTCAAGGAGTTCTTCTCCCAGTCTATATAAGTACCTGGGATTTCCCCGGCCCAAGTGCAACACCTTACACTTGGCCTTGTTGAACCTCATTAGGTTCTCATGGGCCCACTTCTCCAGCCTGTCCAGGTCTCTCTGGATGGCATCCCTTCTCTCTGTTGTATTGACTGTACCACTCAGCTTGGTGTTTTCTGCAAATTTGCTGATGGTGCACTCGATTCCCTCATCTATATCGTTGATAAAGATGTTGAAGAGCACCAGTCCCAAGACAGACCCTTGAGGGACACCACTGGTGACTGGCCTCCACTCAGACGTAGACCCATTGAACACCACCTTTTGGCTGCAACCTGCCAACCAATTCTTTATCCATTGAACAGTCCATCGTTCAAATCCATACCTCTCCAATTTAGAGAGAAGGATGTGGTGAGGGACCATGTCAAAGGCTTTGCACGAGTCCAGGTAAATTACATCCATCACCCTCCCTTTGTCCACCGACACTGTAACTCCATCATAGAAGGCCACCAGATTGTTCAGGCAAGATCTGCTTTTGGTGAAGCCGTGCTGGCTGTCTCGGATCACCTCTTGGTCTCATGCGTGCCTTAACATGGCTTCAAGGAGGATCTGCTCCATGATCTTCCCAGGCACAGAGGTGAGGCTCACCGGACTGTAGTTCCCCAGGTCTTCTTTTCTCCCTTTCTTAAAAATGGCAGTAATGTTTCCCTTTTTCCAGTCACTGGGGACTTCACATGACAGCCATGGTTTTTCAAATATGACAGAGAGTGGCTTGGCAACCACATCAGCCATCTTTCAGAACCCTGGGATGCATATCATCTGGCCCTATAGACTTTTATACATTGAGTGATATGAGGCGGTCTTGGACTTGTTCTGCTGTTCCCGTGGGAGGGATTCCGCTCCTCTCACCCTCACCTAGAGCTTCAGGGTCCTGACAGATATGGGAAGCCTGACTGCCAGTGAAGACTGAGGCAAAGCACTTATTCAGTACCTCAGCTTTTTCCATGTCTGAGGAAGCCAGTTCTCCTTTCTCATTTATCAGAGGGGGAACACTCTCCTTGGCCTGTCTCCTCCTGCCTATGTACCTCTAGAACCCCTTCTTGTTACTTTTCACGTCCCTTGCCAAGTTCATCTCCATCTGTGCCTTGGCTTTCCTGATCCCATCTCTGCACATCCGGACAATGCCCCTGTATTCTTCCCAGGCTATACAACCCCGCTTCCACTTCTGGTACATTTCCGTCTTTTCCTTCAGTGTGAGCTGCAGGTCCTTGCTCAGCCATGCCGGTGGCCTGCCTCCTCTGCTCTATTTCTTCTGTTGGTGGATGGAGAGCTCTTGTGTGTTCTTAAAGAGCTGCCAGCTCTGTCCTGTTCCTATGCCCTTAAGGCCAGTTTCCCAGGGGATCCCATCCAGTAATTCCATGAACAGCTGGAATTTTGCTCTCCTGAAGTTCAGGGTCCTGACTCTGCTTTTTGCCAGGCCCATATTCCTCAACATCACAAACTCCACCAGGGCATGGTCACTACAGCCCAGGCTGTCCCCGATCTTAACCTCTCTAATGCTCTCCTCTGCATTGGTGGCTACTATAGATCCATGAAGCATTGTTAGGGTTTGTTGTTGATGTTATATTGCTCAAGTTTGCTATCTAATATCACACCAGAGAAGTTCTCTTTAGGGCTGAGGATAACTGGGCTTGTTCATAGGGCCAGGTAATCTGTAGATGTCACGGATCCTTTTCATCCTCACTTGTTTCTCCAGCTGCGTTTTTGGAGTTGGTGTTCTGCTTAAAACAATGCAACCTCTTAAAAGAATTCAAACTTTCAGCTTTTCTTTGACTTTCTTATGTTCTGCTTAACAACTCTATAGATGCAAGAATACCAGGGTTTCACAAAATCCACCACTGGAAGATCTCCTGCAGTAAGGATCAGATACTACATGTGTGTCTGCCGCTGCCTTTTGGGAGCTGAAGAGTCCTTCAGCCAAGGTTAGCTTTGCAGCTGTATCTTCCCTGTTCTGCATTCTGAATATGAGAGCTTTCCTCTCCTACCCACTGTTTGTAATAATGATAGTAGGTCTTTCAGAGGCTTCAGGAATGATCAGAGACTGCCCATGTTTTATTTCCCTGATGTGAGAAATTTGTGAGCTCTTTGAAGCTGTTATGCCTTTTTTCTGTCTCCATATAAAGTTGCACACAGTATGGATGCACAAGAACATAAAGGAGAAAGAACAGAGTATCCATTTTTAAAGATATGTTGTCTAAATTATTTTTGTCCCACATGACTTGTTCTTTGTCCTCAGAGGCTCTAAAAAAGTTTGGGGTTCCTCGATAAGGAGAAGAGCATGCTTTGCTGCAGGTAGACTGGTAGTACGGGTTGTTACAGTTTGCTGTGGTGTATATTCACTGACTGTGCTGTGTCGGGAAGTTCCTTATTTGTCTTTCACACAGAAGGACATTGGTATTCCTCTGACATGGTGGTGCTTTTGGCTGTACATCAGCCATCCAAGGAAAAGAAGAAGCAAATCTTTTTGTAATTGTCTGTTCATTATTTTTCACCTTGGCAGTATTGTCCTGACAACAGTGCTTATGGGTAGAAAAAAAATAATCAAATTTCATATTAATCAGTTTCTTGCCTTTCTTTGATTCAGATTGAAATTTCACAGAAAAGAGAAGAGAAACTTGTTGGTGTTATTCCAAGAATAAGAATGTAAAATATTTGAGCATTTTGTTGTCACTTTACTTTGGAGCTACCTAAAAAGACAAAGGGTCTTATAAAGCGTTGATGAATTGATAGATTCATGGATTGAAGCACCTGTCCTCTACAGACACATTCCTTAGCTGTTATCAGCTCATCAAATCAACAATCATATTGTTTCTTGGCAGCCTCTGTTAAAGAGATCTGAAAAGTCTGCAGCTGTTACTCCGACCTAAGAAGGCATAAATGCCAAACTGTACCCTTTTTGGCCAAGCGTGTATTTTAGGAATGACAGTTTGGAGGATGGATGTTTATTGCCTTGGTTGCTTCAGGCTGATACTCTTGAAGGGTTCCAAATCAGTTATCCAGCATATATTTTTAGCAAAATCGAGTATTGAGTATGTATGGAGTATGTATTCTCTCTGTCTTAGCTTCAGCTTCGACCTTGGTTCATATGATTCCCTTCTGATGGAGTGGATAGGAATTTACTGAACTGCTTGCTCCTCTAATTAAAAAAAAAAAAAAAAAAAGGGAACTTCTTCCCCCCATTTTTTTTTTTTTTAGAATTAGGTTGTTCTTCCTTTTATAGCTCATTTACAGTAGCACTTCATCTGCCATGCCCCGAAGTCCCGAAGTCCCCTCCTGTGTTCTTCGCCGCCACAGCAGCACATGGCTGCCAGCCCACCCTACCCTAGTGTGCCCGTGTGTTCAGGGAAGTGTTGAACTCTGACTCGGAGCGGAATTACCATGAATGTCTGATTTCTAACTGTGTCCTGAGGCTGTGTTTGACTTTTCAGGATACTGTCGCCTAAATTCAGCTTCCTCTGTCCAGACATTTGAAGCAACTTGTGTCTCTTTAGGGAGTAAGAGCCAGGGACAAAGACTTTTGTATCTCCTGCTTCCCTCCTTAACTTGGTGTGTTTCTTGAGGCATTGAATTGTACATGTGGAAAAAGGGAGCAATTTCGTTTGTAGACTAGTATGAATGAAGACACTTCTGTCTCCTTTCTTCCTGCTGGAAGCTCAGACTTGCTGAAAAAGCAGAAGCATATAGAATTGTAACCAACCAGCTCATCAACTGAAGTAAAACTGATGATAAATTATACACAACTCCAGTTTGCCATCAGCCTTGTTTTGGGACACAGAATCCAGCAACCTCTTCCCTTTCTGCTTCCCTGTAAGTCATGGCTTGGGTGTTTCGTGCTCAGCAGAGAGAGGCAGAAACTTGGGGTGCTCAGCTTAAAG